TTAAAAGGAGCACCACCAACAACAAAGTGTGCATTAAATCACTTTGCTATCTGTGCACCCGATATATCCAATTCAGATGACGGACCGAATCGCGATTTTCGTCGGCGGATCGTGTACCACGTGACCGAGACGTCACCACTTCTTGCGATCCGCGCCTTGTCCGCGGACGCGCGGACTGATGAAGTAAAGCGCCTTTTCATCCCCGGATTTTTGGAGGGAGATTGACTTGGAAATGGCAACAATACAATGTTTTCTTGTTGTTGTTTTTCGGATGACAAAAACAAACATGGCGCATCATTTTGTTTTGTGCGCTCACTGATTCATTTTGTCGCGCGATTCTTGGTTCCACGCGTGAGAGAAACTCCAGAAACTTTGTCGGGCTGACGCGACGAAGCTTCCGGTGCTCCTACGGGTCCGTGACAAAAAGCTTCCGTCAAAATTCATCAGGCAAGTCGCGATAATTCTTTCACGTCCAATCAACCTTTCATCGAGCAAGCTCTTTCTTGTGGCTGTGGTGTTCGTAAGTGTTGTGCACGAGCACGGAATGCGTGAAGCAATCTCCAAAAGCCTTTCCGCAAGCCCAGAACTTCGTCCCTTCTACACCGAAGCCCTCTCGACCAGGACCATGTCTGTGTCACTGTCATGCCTTTGGTTAGGAAAACTAGTGGCGCTTCGCGCGAAGCCTATGATGGTGTTCTGTCTAAATATGTACTCTAGGCAGACTTGTACGTAATGCGTTACAAGTAATGGATTACTTGTAATCGGTGACCTTTAGTGCAATTTTGTAACGCTTCAATTACTTCCTTTAAAGAGTAACGATCCTTGTAATCGAATTACTTCTTTGTGTAATCGATTACAAAATTACCCATTACAACTTCTCTTAATTCCTTTTTTTATTTTTGTAGGGAGAGGGGGGAAGGCGTTAGATGTTCTGGAGTCCCTCCGCTTTGGGCAACGGTCATTATTCTTTTCTTTTTGAAACCCCTAAGGAATAGTAGGCTACTTCACTATGCTTCGTTTCCTGGGTACATTTATTTTTTGGTACACCGGAGACTGCGTTCGGGTATGAAAAATGACCTTATTCAGCCTTTGTGAGTAATGTATTTAAACAGCGCTATTTATTTCTTCTTTATTATTTCTCCAGAGGGAGGTGTTAGCGTCACTCACTCAGCTCTAAGCAAAAAAGGTCAAAGCTTTCTTTTTTTCTTCGGAACAACTGAGTGCGAGACCCCATAGATTATGCTACCGCAATAAAAAAAATTGAATAAAAAGTAACGTGGGAAGTAGTCGATTACTTAAGAGTAATTTTTCGATTACCTTTTTGAGGCAAAGTAGAAATTTGGGCTAGTTGGCTCATGATCAGTATATACAGCGCCAAAAAACGACAGGACAAAGACGAGAGTAAACAGGACGAGGCGCACATAATATATAGGCCGTTAAAAATGCCTATTCATCCCATCAATCCAGAAGACCTCTTGATAAAATCAAACTCTTTCCCTGAGAGGGCAAGGGAAGGCTCGCTAACACATTCATCTCCCTTTGCTCTAATCTCAAACGCCTCGTGCACTTCTCGGCATATTTTATCTTTGTATTTCGCCAGAACCTTCACATCATGCAGAACTGGTGAGCACGGGCAGCGACTACAATGAACAGCTAGATTGCCAGACGGGCTTGCTCTCATAGCTGACGCATGTTCCCGTGCACGATCATTGACACATCTGCCAGTCTGGCCGATGTACACGGAGCCGCAAGTCAGCGGAATTTCAATTAAACAATTACAATTACAATCAACAATTACAATTAGAACCTTTTTGAGGTTCTAATTGTAGTTGTAATCGGGTACTTTTTACGGTGAAGTAATGGTAATTGTAGTCGGTTACTTTTTTCAGTAACCTGTACAAGCCTGACTCTGAGTAAGAGTGGCGCCCCGATTCTTGATCGCGGCAGGAAGCGTAGATCAAACAGCGTTGCGACGGTGCGACGTCGGAGTTTCGTGACAGTGTGGAGTGGCGAGCAGGTTTGGTTCGTCCTCGCTGGCGTCTGCTTGTCGTCTCCCTCGTGTGGATGCGCTTGGGAGACGGACGAACCGCGGACATGTCGTCGCCTGATCAATCCATCCTCGGATCAGCCCGTCGTGTGAATCGGCCGTAAGCGCCTCATTTTCATAAGGACATTGTTGTGCCGAGATAATATTTGATGCCATCTCTTTGACTGGTTCCCACATCTTGCGGGGATTTCCTATAACTCCCGAGAGTTCGTTCATGTCATATTTACACTTTTCGTTTCAATGTTACCGTCAATTGTATTACATGTCTTCCTAAATATGCGAAGGTCGCCTTCGTTTCTCCTTTCTAAAAATATTTAAAACAGCTCGTTCTGGTCCCTTATTTTATGTAATTGCTCTCTTTCTTTCTACTCGCTGTTCGAGCGCATTCGAACCCGGAGGCCGAATGCCGTATACGAGCGTTGGGCATTCGGAACGCTAGTAGAGACAAAGGGCAGGCAAACTATGCGTCCACCCACTAATCCTTTCATCCAGCGCTCGGTGTTCTGCCATCCCCGCGCCCTCTCGTCTCCTTCTCGGCAACCATTTCTGCCCACACAGCTTCGAACATTTGGAACTTTTAGCAAACTGTTACCGTGTTCCGCGTAGCGCACTACCGGAGCCCTTGAAGTAAGCTTTGAAGCGAGCGCCCCGCGGTGACACTATCACCCGGGCGCGCGCTCTTAAAAGAATTATCCGAAGCGTTCGGTAGTGCGGTACGCGCAACTCGGTAACGGTTTGTTAAAAGTCCCTGTCATCTGGCTGAGTTTTCTCGCGAATATCAAGGAGTGGCATCGCCTAAATGCGTGTTTGCACAGTGGTTCAAAAGCGGCACTGCTTCTAAACCACGGTGTAAGACTCACCGTGTAAGGAACAGCACTTGAAAAACGCATAGATATGTTCAAAAGTGTGTCCCTCCTAGGAAAACAGCACAGACGCCAGCCGCTTTTGAAGTATTACAAAAAAGAATAGTATATCTACCCACGCATCTAGAGAAAGGCGGCACCGACGCGTGGAGGAGAAGCGATAATGAAAGTGGCCAGGCTGCAACAGATGAACAATGTATGGCTGAAGGAACATAAGGAGAGCTGATTTAAATTTATTTAAAGTGCATAACTTCGCGCGAAGTAGCAACTTTCTCAATGGCGGTTCTCGCAAAAATATTTTAATCAGTGGATGTCGTAATTACTTGTTAACGTGAAACGTCCTTTGGCTAGATGTTCGGAATTTCGTGAAGACCATGATAAAGGCGTGGCCGCGAGGCTCAACACTGACTGGTTGACGGGTGGGGGAGGAGGAGTGAGGGGCTCGACGTTAGTTGGTTAATGGGGAGGTCATGTTACCAGAGGCGTAGGCGAGGAGGAGATCGACCACCTGGGCGGCAGTGAGGGAGAGTAGCTCGAGAGCACGGAAGGCTCTGTAAGATCGCCAGGTTTGTCAGCCCGATTACGGGGTATCCACACGAAGGAGAACTCCGCGGACGGATGTCGTGACGTCAACAACCCGGGAAACTCCGTCCCCGGCTCCACCGCGTGCACCTGCGGAGCTCTTATGCTAAGAGTACGAAGCCTCCGCGCCTCCGCGACGGAGGAGAACGGCGCCGCGAGGCGTCAAAAAGGGATGACGTATATCTCACGTGATGCGCGCTCCGCGGACGAAAGGGGCAAATTTCTTCTTCGCGTGGATACCCCATTATCGGTAGTATCGCTTCGTTCAAGGAACAACCATCAAGTGTACACGTTCTAAGTGTTAATCTTATAAAAAGAGCCGCGAATTTCGGCGTCTCGCGTATGAAAACTTAAAGTATCGCTAAAAGTGTGATGCTGAACTCGGGGAGAACTTTTCTTGGCAATGCAGCAAAATGTACAGGCACGGGTTCCCTCTCCCAATTCGAGCGATGAATAAAGCTTTGCGCTGCCTCTCCTTCTCTTCCCGGAAAATCCAAGAAAAATGGTCGCCGAGTTTAGGACCGTTTACGGATGCACTTGAAGTGCCAAGCAATTTGCCATAATTTTCTTTTAAATCAATTTCGCAACACTAATGCAGGTGTTACTAAAGTTAGTTTTTGTTCTCTGGATCAAAATACGGGGAGGAACATCTTCTAAGTTGAATACTAAGCTTCGTCCGAGATTTTAGCTTAGTCGCATGGCAATGGCGGTGAACTTTAGATATCGGGCAAGACCGCGACACCAAATCTCCCCTTTACAGGAAGCATTTTCTTTCTCGCCAATTCCAGTTTTCCGAAACCGATATATCGTCTGGTAAAGCAAAAAAAAAAAAAAAAACCAGGACGGCTAATGAAAGAGAGATGTCTGTACTTGTCACTTCTTTAACGACATGGACCTTCCATTCGATCAGTCACTGTGAGTTCAGCCTCTTTCCCCGCCAATAACCGTATACGAGAAAGCTTTCTCATGAACAGCGAGTTCGAGTGAGCTGATGGAAGACACAAGCTCCTGGCAGGTACCGTAACCGGCCAATCGAAAAATAAGAAAGAACACATTGCACTCTCCCCACCATTCGACAATGTACCCATCTAAAACACAGGAAGCGCCGGTCTACAGACATTCGCTTATTAAGCCTTGCACAAAAGATCACTGTGGATTAAATAAAAAAAAAAAAAAGCTATCACAAGAACACGTTTTCGTTACTCTGCCCGCTGGGAAGGTTTGGCGCTTGGTGAAACATACGTTAGTCAATGGGCAATTTCCAATCTGGCGTTTGTGTGTAAACTCAGAATTGGGCGAAAAAGCACGCTCACAATGACTAAGCTAAGTTGAGTCGGAAGCCTGGCTGCTGAACCCCTCCGCTCTCGATTTGACGCTGGCAGGAGAGTCATATTAGAGTTTGGTTTTAAATTATTTCGCACGAATACAGAAAACGTGACTAATTACAACTCACTTCAAGATTGATGACATGTATCTGCAATAACTTGAATTAAGATTTATTCACTGATTTATTCATTTATTGATCTGTTGTAGGACCTAAAAAACTGCTGTACACATTTTTTACGGTCCTCATCCCTGGCACATAAGCCATTTGTCCCTCCTTCTTGCGACTCTTGATGGTGCTTAATAATCTTCAAAATAAAGCTGTCGACAAAGTGTGATACCCTAACATGTATCGTAGGCTCAACAGGATGATAGCAGCTGTCGCGTCGAGCGGAATTGATAGCAGTAAGAAACCACCGTCCTTCTTTCTGGTATATCAAAGGTCCCCCGCTGTCCCCCTGAAAAGGAAAACAAAAATCAATTTGTTTCGCCATTCCCGGAAACGATGAATAACAAACTAAAGACTTTTGCAGATGCATCCCTCGAACTGAGACACACAAGAAAGTTGTGGTGCATGCCATAGCAACTGCCTTTCCCTATTTCGTAACGTTTTGTGATTTTGTTGTTCCGGGATTGCGTTTTCGACGCCCTGGTATAAAACAAAAAAACTACAAAAATAAATTTAAAAAAAAACTTCTGCCGCCCGTACATCAAAATGTTAGGAAAGGGACAACTATTTGTGTTTTATGATTGTGAAAAAACATTGCATCAATTGTAGCAACGTTTTTTTATGATCCCTGGTGGGTGCAGCAATACTGCACTCGTCTGAACATACTCACGGCCGATATGTTTTTATATTTTAGAGCGCATCTCTTAGGCGCCCGTTTCCGGCTTGAGCGGCGTGGGCGTCGTCGTCGGCGACGCCGTTGGCGTAACCGGGCGTTGCATTAGGGAATTTTCGTGGATGGTTTTTGCCGTCCCGCAACGCTGTCCGCAACCCGCAACGACACCTGGAGCTCTACAATCAAGGCCATTGGCGCGCAGGCGGAGTAGCGGATTCTTCGTCGCGGAGGGCTTACCGGAGGGGAAAACGCGGTCTACGAAAACTCCCTTTTATGGGACGCTTTTCATTGCGACGGCACACGTGACGTCACATAGCACGTCACAGGGGTCATGAGCGACGTCACCGCGCGTTGCATTATGGGTAAATTTCCCCGACAAACTTAGCGGAAAAAGTTCTCCACTAATATAGCGGAAAACTTTCTCCGCTAGATATAGCAGAAAAATATCCGCTAAATTTAGCGGGGAAAGTTTTCCGAGCGGGGAATTTTTTTCGCTAAACTTAGCGGGAAATTTTTCCGCGACATTTAGCAGGAAAATTGCTTCACTAAACGTAGCGGGGAATTTTTTCACTAAATTTAGCCGAAAAGTTTCCTCTCTAAATTTAGCGTAACAATTCTCCTGTATATTTAGCGCAAAATTTTCCCTGTCAGTTATGCGGAAATATTTCCCCATCAAGTTTAGCGCAAAAATTCCTTGCTTGATTTAGCGAAACAAAAACTCCCTGCTAAATTTAGGGGAATATTTCTTCCCTAAATTTAGCGTAAAAAATATTCCCTGCTAAATTTAGCGAAAAAAAAATCACCAATAAATTCAGCGGGGATTTTTTCCCCGCTAACTTTAGCGGAAAATTTAGCAAAAATTTCCCGCTAAATGGGAGGCGCGCAGGAGGTGCGGAGGGGAGGGTCTGGATGAGGAGGGGCATAACCTGTACTCCGTACCTTCCCTTCCCCTTCAAGAGCTGCGCTCTAATTCGGCGTTACATTGGATTGTAAACTTCTTTCATTTTTTATATAACTTCTTCTTCCATCATTGTGTCAAAGACAGTGGTAAGATAATGCGATGCAGCTTCCAGCTAGATGCGATAATGGACCCGCCGTTTTTGGCACTGCGGCAACTCTGGCACCATAGTTGGCGGGAAGAAAAAGACCGGAACGGAAACGATGAAAGAGTATCGTCGCACTCTAACTTCCTCCTAAATAGTCTTAATCAAAAAGCGCACCAAAAAAAGGAAAGCAAAAAAAATAGCGCTGGCTTAGCTCGGCTATGCCAGGATATACGTAGCGTGAGCTTAGGCGCACAAAATGAGAGGCGCTCTCAAGGGGCTCCGGTTCAGCGTCAGACTCGGCTACTGCGCAACGGAGGCGCACAGCTGGGCACGAGGCGGCGCCAGTGCGTCTGCCGTGGCTATGATGTCACTCCTCTGGAATGCGCAGACCGGCGAGGCGGGCGAGGCGGGAGCGCGCGGCGGCGGAGCGCGCGGCGCCGGCTTCGCGTGGCCGTCATAATGAGCCGTGCTGATTATGCAACCCGTGCTCATTATGCGGAGCGCGGGCGCCGCGCGCTGCGCGCTTCGGATAATGAACACGGCTCGCATAATGAGCACGGCTCATTATGGGAGCCACGAGAAACTGCTCAACCCCAGCCAGTGCAGCTAACGCTAAAAAACGGAAAGCAGGCGCCCGGCAAGCACGCCGAAAGCCCGGAGTTCGCTCGTTTCACGTGCGCTAGGAGTAGAGCGCGGCGCCGGCGCTCTACCCCTAACACGTGAGGTGAACTGCGGGAGTAACTCGGATCTACTCAAGTAAAACGCTCAGATAGCACTCGTGGCAAATCACTGAGAAGGCGAGTGCAGCTTCAGCGTTGGGTTGGCATTCAAGTTTCCCTCATTCGTTTAGAGAATGAGAAGCCGGAAGCGGTTCGGTACCAGCCATAAAAGACACCCCCCGTATTAGAAAATCTGTGAATGTCTAGTTTTTGAACAAACATATTCGTTTGTTCATATAAAGGGTCATAAGTTTATGCTTGCCTGGCCTGCGGGGTCGCACTAACGTACCATGAGCACTTCACGAAAACGTTGTCAAATTCTAAATTCGGCGTCTCTTGCTCGCTTCAATTCAACATTTACTACCCCATCGATAACACTATACCGTGTGCTTTGTTTCTCCTTGGAAAAGAGTCTTGAAAACGATGGGCAGCTTCGAGCTCACCCTCGATTTTAATGTATCGTGGAAATATTTTTAATTAATCTCAAGGTTAAACGCTAGTCTAAAATAAACACTGCAACTATTTTTGCCAACATCTGCAACGCGAAATTAACTGTGCAGTTTTGCACACTTAAAAGTTACATTTAAATAATGCGTGTACATGTTGCCAGGATTGTCATATTGCAATGGCTCCTATTTGTCTGCGTGGGAATATCTTGATACAAAAAAAAAAAGATTATTATGCGGCTAGCTATCAGCTTGTTTATGAACGGATCTGCGAAATACCGTCTCCCTAACCTGCCTATAAACATTTGAAAAAAGAATTCTCTGGCCGCCGTCATTTTGCGACTCGAGCGTCCCCTATCAGGTGGAAATTTCTGCCACCCGCCAGAGCTGTGGAAACCTGGTCAGCGCGACTCCCCACCCGCATTGTGCATTCGGAGTTCTCCGGCTTTCCTTGACATTGTTTTACTTTATTGGCCTACTCAGGATGTTTACGTGTTTTGTGTTATCTGCCACTACGAGAGTCAGGGAATACAAGGGCTCGTAGGCTGCTTGGCCTTCGCAGAAAACGAACGAAGAAAGCGAACGTCAAGCAGCCCACGACGCGGTCCGTTCGACGTTCTTCGAGGACTATTTCCCTTGAGATAATCTCCTAAAATCCTTCTCAGCTGTGTTCCTGGTCTTGCCGAGAAATAGCTGATAGGGTCCGTGGTATGGGGACGGAGTACACGCGTTCTTTCATTTCCTTTTGTGCTGTGTAATAAAGCACTACTCTTCAAAACGTGCCCCAAGACAAGCCGGATTCCGTCCAATCGTCGAGAAGTGACTATCGTCCACGCTGTATACTGGATATGTCGTGTTATTTGAGACCTTTCTTAAATCCGGTTCATATAACGCGGCACCCACGACGCGTTATATGATACGTACAATATATATTGTTCGATAGATGAGACTCCTTGAATTTCATGGTGTGAGCGGGGAATACACATGCAGTTCGGCTATCCTGTGGTGTGTTCAAATATGTTCGGCAGTTAAGACATTTGTAGACTGACATGGCTGAGTGTATGGTTCCGTAAAGAACTCAACATAAAACAAAACAAACATTCCAGTTGCATTTGTTCTGTTGCGCACGGACTCACTAAGAAAAGCTTTCATTTGTTTGTATTTGTTTCGAAAACCAGTGCAATGCTTTCTTAAAAAAACGTTGAGAAGTTATCTTCGCCCTAGAACACAAAACAAAAAATAAAACGATGTAATTTAGCAGCCACCAGCGTCCGGAATTTCGCCTACGTGGGCTGCCACAACCTAATGGCGAGAAAACCCACAGCGCAGCGCAGTCGGGCAACACTGACGTACACTTTCAAAACAAGGGACGCGCGCTGTAAATCGCTTCGTTCGAGACTGCCCCAGGATATGTCTATATTTGAAGAAACTAAGAAGGGCGATAGTTGAAGGTTACTACTAAACAGGAAGTTCTCCTTTTTTAATTTTTTTTCTAGGTAACGAAAAATCAAGTGCCGCGAGTTCTTTCTTCACCATGGGAACTTGCGCCACTTTAATTTGTGTCATGCACCTTCAAAAGTGTTCAATAGAAGTTGCGACACCCGCATTTCAATCACGAGTTCTCACGAACAATTGTGCTTTCAACAGAAAACTAAGACATTTTCTCGTCATAGTAGAATTCTGGATTTTGATTTAAATTGCAGACATTCTGATATGCAGGGTAAACTTTTTCTTTTTTTGCTCCATGTTTCAAAAGTCAAATTAAATTACGATATTTCAGTTACAAATGCATAATTATACTTTATCGTACATAGAGTAATTTTGCTATCTTCTGTGTTATGGACCAAAGCAAAAAGGAAAAACTGGTCTTTATTCTTGTTTGCAAGCGAATCTGTCGAAAAATGAATTCTACTCACGAAACAAATTCCACCAGTGGAGCAAAGGGTGTAATTTGGGACACTTCTTGCAAGCTGATGTGCGCATTTATCGTTACTAATAAGGGATATATTTCTTTCCATCAATGTCACTGGGTCTTCAAAATATTGAGCGCTCTCTTCTTCCGACGCTGGGGTTTCATTCGTTTCTTCCTCTGTTGAACTCTCATCATAGTACGAATATTCACCCGTATCGTCTGTTGTTTCATCAGTAGCCTCGCCGGAATAGGTATAGTCGTCTGAAAATATTCCTATACATTTTGGTTATTATTAGGTATACGCACTCCTAAGAACATTTTCATGTGCGTGGCATTTAATTGGTTAACAATTGTTTACTTGGATTGGGTGTGAAGCTGCTAAAAATTAAAATTATCTTAAACAAAAAAATATTGAGACGATATACATTAGTGTAACAAAACTTCTGGGATTCATTTTGCTTTGACCATACAGGAACAATGCATTTAAATATAAATATATAAATTTACTAATTGTATATTTGGCATGTCTTCAGATATTGGGATGCTAGGGGTGGAACTCACATTATTAACTTATTACTTACTGTTAAAATTTTGACGGATACTTAGGATAATAATAACGTTTTGTATTTACTATTTGCTATAAGTGTTTACTATATCTAAATTATAATAAAACGCACAACATAAAGTCATCGCATTATATTTATCGTCCATTCTCTTGTACTTTATTGCTCCAGCTGCACAAGGCAATTATTTATGTTTGGAACATGTAGAAAGTTTCTTTTTTTAACGAGTCAGTGGTAAACTCTTAATAATTTTGCTATCGCCAATAACAATACATGTGACGATCACAAAGTAAAATTTAACTATGATGAAAATAATTTGTTTAAATTTATCTACGAATTCTGAGTTATTCAGTAGGTTAATACAAATAATTTCGCGGGCTCAGTTTTTATATCTACGTATATTCGTTTTGCGTGACTTTCGTAATTTTGCTATGGCATACAAATGTAATATTGCCGCGCGCCAAGTAGGCAGCGCGGCCGTAGCCTAACGGTTATCGCGCTTGCCTCCCACGCGAAGGGCCAGGGTTCGATTCCTGGCCGCGGCTATGTATTCTTTGTTAACACTGTAATGTGATGTTCCGGTGAAATCGAGAACCGTCTAGCTGATCCGAGGTCAGAATGTTCTACGCGTCGAACCCTCTACGTCGAATGCTCCAGAAGCCAACGTGTGTACAAAAGCGGCTCCGCGGGCAAGCCGGAGTCAGTCTCGTCCCAGCGTTCGACTCTGCTGTCACGCCGACTTGGACGTCCGCGACGCTCTGTTATTATCTTTTGTACCCCTTTTATTTTTTAGCACAAGTTCGATCGCCACATTAAACGTTTATTTCTTCCTGTTTATTTCTTATTTATTGGTCACCACCCGTGACATTTTGGTGGAGGTGCGGGGTATCGCATGTTCGTGCAGCGTTCCCCTCCAAGAGCCCGCAGTGCAAGTCCAGTTCCAAGCCCAGTGAGGAGACCAGTTCCCGCGGAACCCAAACCCGGACCAGCCGGCGCATCAAGGGAGAGGATCCTGAATACAGATCGTTACTGGACAAGCCCAAGCCGAAGACGACGACGATGGCCAACCAGTCGCAGACCCCGGCCGCTCCTGCCTTCACCTACCTGCCCGTCGCACCCCGTACTCCGACGCCATTCTACGGGGACGCCCACGAAGACGTCGAGGACTGGCTTCAACAGTACGAGCGGGTGGCCCAGCACAACCGATCGACGGACGACCAGCGCCTGCAGAACCTTTACTTCACGCTCGAAGGAACGGCCAGGCACTGCTTCGAGAATCGGGAGACTTCGTTGATCTCGTGGACCGCCTGCAAGAGTGAGTTGAGGCGAACTTTCACTAACCAGTATCGACGGGAGAGGGCCGAGGACCTTCTTCGAATGAGAACCCAGGGCGCAAACGAGACCATCACCAGTTTCGTCGAGGATGTCCTGCGCCTGGTCACTCGCGCCGACCCTCAAGCCACCGACGAAAAGAAGTTGCGGATCCTGATGCGAGGCGTACGAGATGACATCTTCGGAGGCCTTGTCCGCAACCCGCCGACCACCGTCGAAACGTTTGTAACAGAGGCGACCAACATTGAACGGGCCCTGCAAGCCCGAGCCGCTCACTTCCATCGAGCTCCTGCCGTCGCTGCACCCACGCCGTCAAGCTGCACCCTCAGCCCCAATATTCCGGGGATCCGAGAAATAGTCCAGGACATCGTCCGTGAAGAACTGAAGAAGCTAATACCTGCCGCCGAACGTCCAGCTTCACTCTCGATCGCCGAGATTGTTCGAGAAGAGGTCGAGCAAGCGCTCCAGCCAGACGTTCTCGCCGACGCCGCACCGGAACCACCAGCTGTGACCTATACCGCCGTTGTTCGTCGTCCGCAGCCTCCTATTGCTCGGCAGTACCCATCTGCACCCCGACGAGAAGTCGCTTCGCCGCTGTACGCGCCGCGCCAAGAGCAGCGTGGACTTCGAAAGACCGACGTGTGGCGCACGGATGACGGACGCCCGGTGTGCTTCCACTGCGGGGAGGCTGACCACGTTTACCGGAGGTGCCCCTACCGCCAGCTCGGCCTGCGAGGATTCGCTCCAAACGACCGTCGACCTCGTGTTGGAGAACGACCAAGGGACATCGAGGAATACCTCCGTCGCCCTCCGTCACCAGCGCCCACCGCACCACGAGGTTCCCGTTCTCCATCCCCCCGACGTTCCGCGTCGCCTTTCCGTCGATCGCGCCGTGACAGCCTGTCCCCCCTATCTCGCCGGGAAAACTAAGTGAGGCAACGCCTGGAGGTGCCGTTGCCGAAGACGACCCGAGTAAAGAGCCTCCAAGAACGCCGGAGCGCTCCCACTCTCCCGACGCCACACATCGCTACGACGCCCCTGCAACGGTGTCCAACAACCTAAACGTCGTCATCGACGGCCACGACGCATCGGCACTCGTGGACACCGGAGCAGACTACTCAGTCTTGAGTGGGAGGCTGTCCCGCCGCGTTCGAAAAGTCATGACGCCGTGGGAAGGGCCCCAAATACGAACCGCCGGAGGACATTTGATCACACCAGTTGGGAGATGCACTGCTCGCGTCGAGATCAACGGTGAAACGTGCCCTGTCAAGTTCCTCGTTCTGCAAGACTATTCGAGGGACGTTATCCTTGGAATGGACTTTCTCTGCGAGTATGGCGCCGTCATCGACCTCGGAACAAATCGGCTGAAGCTACGAAAACCTGCTCCACCAGCGGAGGAACCCCAAGCGACGTCACCCGCGGTCCGAATCCTCTCAAACCACGTAAACCTACCACCGCGGTCGAGTGTTTTCGTGCTTGTCGGGATCGATGAAGCTTCCTGTGGCGAAGTTCTTCTCGAGGGAAGCCTCCAATTGCTCCTGGGAAGAGGCATAGGCGTCGCAAGGGGAGTAGCTGAACTTCAGGATGGGCGGACTGTGGCCCTCGTGACGAACTTCCGAAACGAAACGCAACACCTCACGAAAGGTGCAGCCATGGGCCACGTCGAGAAACTCCGAAACCCCGCCGAAATCACCGCGAATACTGACAAATCCTCGCCGCCCCAGCAAGACAGTACGTCGCCAGCGCAGCTTGACATTCACCCTAGGCTTCCGGACCCTAAACGGTGTCAGCTGGTTAACCTCCTCGCCGAATACCGCGACTGCTTTGCAACGTCGTCGAAGGTGCGCCAGACCGCGGTTGCCAAGCACCGCATCGTTACCGAGGAAGACGCGCGCCCTGTGCATCGATCGCCGTACAGAGTCTCCGCTAAAGAAAGGGAGGGGATCCATCAGCAAGTTCAAGAGATGCTGAATGACGACATAATTCAACCTTCAAGCAATCCATGGGCCTCTCGAGTCGTGCTGGTTAAGAAGAAGGACGGAACTCTTCGGTTCTGCGTGGACTACCGGCAGCAAAACACTGTTACGAAGAAAGACGTCTACCCACTCCACCGCATCGACGACACTCTAGACCGGCTGCGCCACTCTCGATACTTTTCATCGATGGACCTGAAGAGCGGCTACTGGCAAATCGAGGTCGACGAACGGGACCGAGAGAAGACAGCCTTCGTCACGCCGGATGGACTGTACGAGTTCAAGGTGATGCCCTTCGGACTATGCACGGCGCCAGCAACTTTCCAGCGTGTCATGGACACCGTACTGGCAGGGCTGAAGTGGCAGAGTTGTCTCGTCTACCTTGACGACGTCGTAGTATTTTCAGCTGACTTCGACGAGCACTTGAGACGACTCCGAGCTGTTCTTCAAGCCATTCAGACCGCCGGACTCACACTCAAGCCGTCAAAGTGCCGGTTCGCCTATGACGAACTGAAGTTCCTTGGCCACATGTTTAGTAACGAAGGCGTCCGCCCAGACCCAGAGAAGACTCGCGCCGTCGCGGCATTTCCAGCGCCGACAGATAAGAAGGCCGTGCGAAGATTCCTTGGACTTTGCGCCTATTATCGACGCTTCGTTCGGGATTTCGTAAGGATTTCCGCACCACTTACGAATCTCACGAAGGACGCCGAGAAGTTCGAATGGGCCGAGGAGCAACAGCAGGCATTCGACGAACTGAAACGACGACTCCACACTCCTCCTGTGCTTGGACATTTCGACCGGGATGCGGAAACAGAAATTCACACGGACGCAAGTAACGCGGGACTGGGCGCAGTACTAGTCCAAGTGCAAGAAGGCATCGAGTGAGTCATCGCCTACGCAAGTCGGACATTGTCCAAGGCGGAGAAAAATTACTCCACAACTGAGAAAGAATGCCTTGCGGTCGTCTGGGCAATAACGAAGTTTCGTCCGTACTTGTACGGGAGCCCGTTCCGTGTAATCACGGACCACCACTCGCTCTGCTGGCTTGCGAAGCTGAAGGACCCGTCAGGACGCCTCGCTCGATGAAGTCTTCGACTACAAGAGTTCAACATGACAGTGGTCTATAAGTCAGGCCGCAAGCACAGCGACGCCGACTGCCTGTCCAGAGCCCCCGTCGAAACCCCTTCCGGCTGCAGCGACGACAATGACGACGAGCGCTTCCTAGGAGCAGTGAACACCGACGATATGGCACGACGTCAACGGGACGATCCTGAGCTGCGCGCATTAATCGAGCACCTGGAAGGGGTCAGGAGTACCGTGCCACGTGTCTTCTCACGAGTACTGCCGACCTTCGCCATCCGACAACGTGTACTCTACAAAGAGAACTTCGGCGACAACAACACACCGTGGTTGCTGGTAATCCCGAGTGACCTTCGAGAGAAGATCTTCCAAGCCTGCCACGACGACCCCACATCCGGACACCTTGGTTACGGCCGGACACTGGCCCGTATTCGTGAAAAGTATTACTGGCCGAAGCTCCCCAAGACCGTCCACCTATACACACGATCATGCCACGAGTGCCAGCGACGCAAGAAACCGCCGACGAGGCCGGCCGGACTTCTGCACCCCATTTCTCCTCCAACTACACCATTCCAGCAGATCGGAATGGATCTACTTGGTCCTTTGCCGCCTTCGACGTCGGGGAACCGCTGGATCATCGTCGCCACAGACTATCTCACGCGGTACGCCGAAAAGAAAGCTCTTCCTTCAGGGACTGCTGCGGAAGTCGCCAAGTTTTTCATCGAGTCCATCATCCTCCGGCACGGCGCTCCCGAAGTTCTGATTACAGATCGCGGATCTTCGTTCATGGCCCAGCTGACGCAAGACATCCTTCGTCTCAGTGGCACCGGCCATCGTCGAACCACTGCATACCACCCGCAGACCAATGGGCTGACCGAGCTACTCAACAAGACAATCGCCGATATGATCTCTATGTACGTCGACGTAGAGCACAAGACGTGGGACGAGGTGTTGCCCTACGTCACGTTCGCCTACAATACGGCGGTTGAGGAGACCACTGGATTCACCCCTTTCCAGCTGGTACATGGTCGGAAGGTAACGACCATGCTGGACGCAATGCTGCCCATGAGCCCTCAGACAATGAGAGCGACAACGCCCAGGCGGTTGCTCAACGCGCCGAAGAAGTCCGCCAGCTCGCCCGACTCATGATTCAAGACCAGCAACGCGTCGACGCGGGCCGCTACAACCTTCGTCGCAGGGACGTTCACTTCCAGCGGGGAGACAGGGTGTGGGTGTGGACGCCCATCTGTCGCCGCGGCCTCAGTGAGAAACTGCTGAAACGGTACTTTGGACCATACAAGGTACTTCGTCGCCTCGGCGAGCTGAACTACGAGGTGATGCCCAACGGAACAAGAACATCATCACGCCGCCCACCACAACCTGAAGTCGTCCACGTCGTGCGCCTGAAGCCGTACTACGCTCGATAGGACTGTGGATCTTATGTGTTTCAAGTGACTGTTTAGTTTGCCGTTCTTTTTATGTGCTTTGTTTTGTTTTGGGATGCATCGAGGCGATGCACTTTTTAAGGGGGTGAGTAATGCCGTGCGCCAAGTAGGCAGCGCGGCCGTAGCCTAACGGTTATCGCGCTTGCCTCCCACGCGAAGGGCCAGGGTTCGATTCCTGGCAGCGGTTATGCACTTTTGTTGACACTGTAATGTGATGTTCTGGTGAAATCGAGAACCGTCTAGCTGATTCGAGATCAGAATGTTCTACAGAATGTTCTACGCGTCGAACCCTCTACGTGGAATGCTGCAGAAGCCAACGTGTGTAGTACAAAAGCGGCTCCGCGGGCAAGCCGGAGTCAGTCTCGCCCCAGCGTTCGACTCTGCTGTCACGCCGACTTCGACGCCCGCGACGCTCTGTTATTATCTTTTGTACCCCTTTTATTTTTTGGCACAAGTTGGCCACATGAAAGGGTTATTTCTTCCTGTTTATTTCTTATTTATTGGTCACCACCCGTGACAATATTAGACGAGTTAACATAGAATAAACATACTCAAAACGATTCAGTTTATTAACTGTGAAATTAATTATACTCAGGTCTTTCGTGTGCGTTCTTTTAAAGACGTGATTTTAGAACACCGTTGATCATTATGTACAAATATGCTGGAAAACATTTTTGCGTTAAATGTTTCAGATACTAACGAGTGTCTGCACGCCTTATGTGAGAAATGGATGAAGGAATGAGACAGTGGCAGCGGCACCCGGTTCTCTCTCGCGTTTCAGTTTCCGCAGTTTGTCGCTGATTGACCCCCGTCACATGTACCAGGCAATTCGCTTCTTGGGAGGCTTCACTTTCATGGCCTCATTTTTTTAATTGTTTACCGACCCTCGTAATTTGCTTACAATAATGGTAGGTGGAGCAATATTAGGTGAGAAAACAATTTACCGTAGTCTCTGCCCCAGCCCACACCAGATATGGTAACATCTGATGGTGGTTCTTCACAGTTTGTAGGAAGGCAGATTGGCTGAATGTGTTTTGTAAAATTGACAGGCCTCTTTAATTTCAATAGTGCGAGGTCTACCTGTAATGGAATACAGTAGTTTAAACAAAACTTGCTTCAGGATTTTTTTTTCTTTTTAGGAACAGGTATACGTACCATAAAATCTGTACAGTTGTTGCCCTGGACGGGGATGCAGACGTGATCAACCTCCACGCAAATCACCTTGTCTTCCGACTCCTCATGCCTCACTGCTGTGTCACTTAGTTCTAAATTCTGACTTTTGTCTGCGTTTCGGTGACAATCTACGGTGAAATTCGTTCGGTTCGTACTTCCCAAACGAACTGAAAGAAAGCCCGTAGTGTTCTTGTCTCTGGAAGCATTAAACGGAATGTGAACAAATTTGCATTTGGGCTTAAATTGGTAAAGTCTGCGTCAGAACACAAAAGGCTTATCTAATTAGAGGGACTCGTCGAAAAAATCTTTAGCAGTCCCACGGTGACTTACATTTGTGTCATGATAACTATAAAACCAAATAAAATTATATACGACTCGTGCACCCAGCGTTGCACCGAAAGCTGAAACTAAACTGGGTACTGAGGCAGCGCTTAGGTTATACGTGACAATTTTATCATATGTAAAATAAAAAGGTTTTGGGTCAGACAGTCTCGGTATAATCAATAAAAAACAGAAATTGAAGTCGCAACATGTGGCATGAGTTGGTTATCGCTGTTGGGACGTGATCGCTTACGCTAGTTAATGGAATTGAAGCGCCATTCTATTCGGATTTTATTTGTGTACGGGGCATATCTGCTATGGGTCATCGTTCGTTTATCAATCGGCCACCTCCGGGCATACACAAGCGCATACTTGGAGATGGCAGGCATGCCATGGGCTGCCTTCTACTGCAAAAACAAGTTTCTGCGATATGGTAGAAAATTGTTTCGTTTTTCGAAAACCGAACAAACGTGTGTAATTATAAGTTACTGCAGCACTCAAATTAACCTCGAAACGCTAGCCAAGTCTGGCTTCGAAATCGTCACTGACACCTCAACAAACGATTATGACGGCTCCACGGAGATCGAGGAGAACTTCACGGACGACAAATCAGACGCACAATTGAAGACTCAATCCTATGTAGCTGGGTGCCCTATTGGAAAGACCAGTTTGAAAGTGTAACTGGTCAGACTGGTATTTGTACTGGTCAAACTGGTATTTGGACTGGTCATACTGGTCTAACTGAAAATCAAACTGGTGCAACTGGTAGCCAGTCTGGTCTAACTGGTAACCATATTGATGTAACTGGTCACCAGATTGCCTTCTAACTGGTCATCAGATTGGCCTGACTGGTCACTATGTTGGCCTAACTGGTCACCAGATTGGCCGAACTGGTTACCAGATTGGTCGAAGTGGTCACCAGATTGGCCGAACTGGTCACCAGATTGGCCGAACTGGTCAGCGGATTGGCCGAACTGGTCACCAGACTGGCCGAACTGGTCGAACTGGTAACCAGATTGACCAAGCTGGTTACCACTTTGACCCCTCTTTTTCACTTTATTTATTGGCTTTCTCACTTGGTTTTATTGGCTTTCAAATAATTACGGCATTATCCAGCGTTTACTTTTTACTAAGAGATTAATCCCCTGAGCCGTTTAAAATACTCTCAGAGGTATGACCTTGTTGAAAAAAAATTAACATGCTGGGAATATTTTTTATTGCTTAGGCGCTCACCGAGAAGTTCCGTACGTTCAAAACGACCAGTATAAAAGACGAAAACGCAGAGCTCGGTAGTAGTGATCAGGTTAGTGTGCGGTAGTATTGATATTTGTATGTGTCGTGAATGTGTATGCGCTTAATGTTTGTTCAGCTGATGCTTGTAGTAGGCGTATTGTGTCTACCTTTGCGTATAATAAAGATATCCAAAACGCAGTGGTGGCTTGAACAAATGAAAATATTTTTTGTCGAACCAGTGTGACCAGTTCAACCACCATGACCAGTTCAACCATCATGACCAGTCAACCAGTATTACCAGTTCAACCGCCATGACCACTCAACCAGTGTGACCAGTTTAAACCACCTTGACCTGTTCAACCATTTTGAAACTGGTCAAACTAGAGCAATAACCAAGTTTGAAACTGGTACCAGTTTGAACTGGTCTTTCCAATAGGGTGGGCAGCCAATGAGATCTGGCATCATGCTTGCCAAGTTCAGCTGCTATCAGAAACATGGAATACCTCGAAAGACATTTCGTTTAAGATCGAGAAATATTCCCATGCGAAGATGACGCCACCTTTCGACCAAACACGTCACCTAGCCGGGAACATCAGCCGTGCATTCGACACACCAGACAACAGTTTATCTGAAGGCGGACATGAGGCCACTGATCGACGAAACAAAGGCGCGGTTTGCTAAGCTTGCCTGGACGCGTACGTCAACAAGGTACATTTTAATGTACCTTTCAACTTCTTTGTCAGGCGAGAAAACAAAACAAAAAGAAAAGCTGCCAAAGTCATTGGGAAAAGAAACGCGAACGCAAAATATGGTCACACACTGCTTGCACGTACCAGATTGCAGCGTGCGACTTATTTTACGGGCAGTATGAGCTGGACCGCGTTATTTCTGTCCCTTTTTTGTTTTTCGTTACTACTAACAAACGAAAGCAAATAAACAAACGTGTAACAAGCAGCTGAAAAAAAAAAGTGAAGCTCTTTTCTCTTTTTATTAGTTTCGTCGTGTTGCGTCCTCTTTGTTGTAGACTCAACACCTATGGCGACCACCAGCTGCTCAACGATCGTCGTCGTTGAAGGAGTTTCTATGCAGGGTGCTTGGTATCCTTGTATTGTCTGCTAACTTCTTTGTTTTATTCGCCGTCGTTCGCGACGGTGCCCGATTTCTTTTTATTTGCGTCTGGGATGGCGACCCCATCGTTCCCGCAAAGTTCTGAAAGTGTTTGCACTGTCATTTTTAGCGTTACGTTTTGCTTAGTGCTTCCTCTGGTAATATTAACATGTTTGCGCACGTTTTAAAGATCACATACTCAGGTACGAAAATGGGACAACTCAGTTTGTAACGAACCAACAGAAACCTCTTACGACGCAGTTATAGTAGCTAAACGCACTTTTTCCGTGTCCCAGACGCGCTTCAAATGCGGGTGATCCCCTAAGATGCGTTTGAGAACGCTCAATAAACTGCTCTATCTTTGTTTATGCTCGCGTTGTAATTTGTTTATAGTTACACTGGCGATCGGTGGATTCCGCTTTGCAAGCGGACTCACCGTAACGAATTGTTTCAGCTGTTGGGGTAACGGAGCAGGGCTCGCAAAGCTCGAGGACGTCGAGGAACCTACCCTATACTTTCATTGCGTCGTCTGCTTCCGTTAACTCCGAGTACGATAGAGGCGCCACTGTCACGTTCGCCGCCGCTCCCCTCGGTTTTAGGAGGAGTTTCCAGCATTGGGCGAAGATATATCGTATTTAACTTTACTTCCACTGCTTCGGCGATGTCTTCCCAACTCGTCTCCCCAACCGCTAGACCGCTCCCCTCTCTCCGACATATTTCTCCAGTCCCGCCTCCAAGAATCTCTTTCTCGCTTGTCAAGTGCAGCGATTTTTGGTTTGCATTGTCGTGGCCCTTTTGAATAAGAAAGATTTCTATTACATCTTGGTTCAGCCGTGCACTCTGCCGTTTGACTGCTACCGTTATTTCAGAGATTGGATGACACCCCCTCCAGTAATTGACGTGCGCTTTCAATGGAGGCACCCAGGTGATCATTCGTTTGTATTGACGTTCTTTTAAGCATTATTTTAAGCAGCGTCCTGCTTCTTCTACATTCGTTTTTCCACACCATAATGGAATGGAATATACTGCGTTATGTTCACATTTGAAAAATTGTACATTGTGGATTCTCTGACATTGCTGTTCACCTTTGGAACTATTTCTGCATCGTTATTTTGGCATGTGAACAATGTGTTGCAGCGCCCTTCAAGAAACTTTTTTATGTGATGGTATAATCACGAGTGTAGGTGATCGTGATGTACATTTTGAGCCTCTCGTGGCTTTTTTCCCCTCTTGTTTTGATGTAATTAGTCGCGATGCCACAATTTTTACTTTGTCCTTGCGCTTATGAAGGGTGGAACGTCGTTATTTAGGCACTCCGCAAATGTGTGAATGCAGGATATTTTTAAGGCTGAACATATGACCCAATTTACGATTCCATGTTTGAGCGTTTTCGAATACGAACATTTTTAAAAGCGTGTAGTGGCTTGTTGGTTCTCCGTTCGTAATATCTAAAAGCTGGAGTTATTTTTTACCTCTTGCGTCTTCTATGAAGTTCAGGACAAGCGAGTGTCCTTAAAAATATGCCGCTATGTCTTGTCCTTTAATTTCCTGAGTATGCATGGCCAGTAGTCGCCCACAAAGTAAAATATGTACAGTTTGTTAGAGTTAATACATAGAAGAAACATAGTCTTTTCCTGCACGTCCACCGCGCTCAGATGGGTTTCAGTTAGCGCCGTGGCAACCCAGGAGCCGATGCAAACCCGGTTCTTTATTTTAAATGTTGTTCTGAAACTCAACAATTAGTGAGCACAAGCACAGTCTTAAAAGTTGAAGGAAATCCTTCAGGCTTTGCCCCACATTATTTGGGAATTTGATAATGTTTTCTTTCATTACTGCTGATTCTACTTTTTACAGCGAACATGTCATGCGCTCCGGGAAAAAATGCCTCCGCGGATGCTTACAGAAACCACCCCATCGGTCGTGGCAGGTATGAATAAATAAATATAAAAATAAACGGCAACAAGTGTGAATCAGCCTTCCTTGGCATTTTTAGATAGTGAGATCCTGATTCCTTGTTATATATAGGAATCGTCCTCGAGGTCGACCTAAAAGTCGTCCTTGAGGTCGTCTGAGGGGTCGCTTTAGGCGCCGTCCTCTAGGCGTCCGCCTCGTAGTCATCCTAGAAGTCGTCCTTGATGTCGTCGTAGACGTCATGCTTGAGGTCGTCTTAGAAGTGGTCCTCGACGTCCTCCTTGACGCCGTCCTTGAGGTCCCCCGTGAGGTCGTCCTCGGGATCGTCCTAGACGTCGCCCTCGAGGTCTTCCTAGGCGTTGTCCTCGAGGTCGCCCTAGAAGTCGGGTTCGAGGTCGTCCTAGACGTCGCCCTCGAGGTCGTCCTTGAAGTCGTTCTTTAGGTTGTCCGAGAGTCGTCCAAGGCGCCATCCTCTAGGCGTCGCCCTCGAGGTCGTTTTAGAAGTCGTCCTCTCTGCATCGTCATGGACGTCGCAAAAATAGCTGGTCCGTAAAAAAGCTGGTCCTCCATCGTCCCGTGAAGTGGAAGGGATCCACAATTTTTAATCATGACTTTTGAGTCCAAGAAGAAGGAGATGTGCTCAATATCTAAAGAAAACACTTATATCTGCCGTTCGGAAAGTGACTAAGATTCTATCGCATTCCTCGGAATTCGAAATTTCAAAAGACTGGCCTACGCTTATGGGGTTTAGCTGTTTTGTAAAAATTTGCCTAGCGACAGTTGCCATGAGCTTGAGGAAATATTCCCAAAGCGATATTATGACAAAAAAAAAAAACACACAAAAAAAAAAAAAACAAATCCGTACGGCAAAGCGTAAGAACAAATTCGTATTCACGAAACGAGATTATCGTAAGTTTTGAGCAGGTTATGATGGAATCTAACCACAGATCCGAAGCTCTCTTAAGCACTTTTTTACGATTAAATCAACAAGCCCGACGGCGTCGCTCAGTTACTTGGCTGCGACGACCAACGGACGTTTATTTGTCTACGTGCTCTTCTCGCGCGTCCCGACTTCAACGAGCAAGAAAAAAAGAAAGTACTTGAAACCGACCACGACGGATTCACAGACATTCGGAAAAAGCTACAACGTCAACGATCCCACAGACCAAGGGACCGCCTTGGGCTAGATCGGTGGGCTCGTCACAATACAGGCTTAGCAATGCACTCCGACCTAATCCGACGGTCCCTAGTCAAGACCGTCTGCCCACGACCGGCTGACTTGCTGAATGGAATATGCGCGCGCGACCCTTGTGGACTCTTCCCGTATGAATAGTTTGATCGCTGACATCGATTTTCGATTAAGAGGTCAGTCTCTTCCCCTTGCCAACCCCTTGTTTTCCGAGGCAGCGGGGACAAACGCTGTCGTCGAAAAGGGACTCCCGTAGACTCTGTCTTCTTGTTCTGTGTGATATAGAGGTCAAATGAACGCCGTATGCATTACCTTCGCAACATATTGTATGCACATTTTGTTATTATTATTATTTTGACACGATGGTACGTCAACGCTGTGGAGCAATAACAGTTCATGGGAACCTACGCGATGCCGGTCCAATCTTTCTTCGCCGAGTGTTACATCGCCCAAAAGCTCTTAACAAGACGCGGTCTAACAGCACGAATCCAGCGCTTTGATCAAATGGGGCGTCCGCTCCAAGTGCGAACAGATGTTTACGTGGATTTTTCTGGCACTCTCGCAGTTCAAATGCATCTCCTTGGACGTCGACCCGCTCCTGCATCTTCGAGGACTCGAAAAACTCCTTAGTGACTTTTTTTTTTTTTTCTACACCGCTTTGCAGACAAGCGGCTTGGGCCGTCTTCTTTTAGCGCAGACGACAGTAGTGTTGACATCGGTGCATTTGGCGACGGCCCTTATCCCTGCCTCGACATTCGGACCTGTTTACATCGTGGTAGCGTCGACATTTCACTGCACGCACACGATCCCCAGACAAGTGTTGGTGGAAAGGCGGGCTGCGTTTGTTTTTCAAATTCCACGTGCTCCCAATCATGGCGAGCTTTCCGATTGGTAAGTTCGTGTTGCCGAACCGGAACCCTGGAACCCGAGCTGTTTTCCTTCCTAATACTTAAAAAAAAAAAAAAAAGTGATAACCTCCTCAGACGTCAACTTTCTTGCACAACATATGAAAGCACCCATCACACCAATGTAAGAATGGCAGACTGCTAAAAAGACAAAAAAAGTTGTTTTTAAAAATATTTGTCGGCCCTGAGACACTGAGAACGAAGTTCCACGTGCGTGCAGCGTCCAGTTCTTCCAAGTTTTGTTCCGGAAGTCGGCGCACCGCAGTTCGTAGAGTGTAGCTTAAGCATTCGAAAATATTCGAAACAAAAATCAAAGCATTTTTTAATGGTGAAACTAAGTTTACTGACATGCGGAGGTAGGTCAGCGAAGCCGCAGTTACCGAAGTTCACTCTACATTCTGTAAGAAATAGTTATTGGAGGATAACTTCAGCTCAGATATTTTCTTAATAACCGTGATATGCGCATAGAGGAGTCAACCCAGGTAGCACGCCAGACAAACGCCTCACACGGCACAACTTGGCAATGCTACAAGCCTGACAAGGGCTATAATAAGGTCTTGCTCTCTTCCGCTAACTAAAGCCAAGGCGTTAGTAAGCGTAAGAGAACCTCTCTTTGGCGTTTTCATGGCTTTTTTCCGGCTCGCCACATAATTTTCAAAGTGCCAGGCTTGAACGAAATATGTCACGTATGAACTAATTCGATACAGCAGTGATTCCTAAATCTGGCACTTCTTAGTCAATTGAGGCCCTGCACTAGAATATGGAAACCCAACAATCAAACTTGAAGCATGACACTGGCACTTGAATGCTTATTTATGCCAAAACGTGCCAGGTGGCAGGCAAAGTATCAGCCGCGAAGCCTAAATTTGACACTTTATGGCGAAATAGAACCTATATAACGAAGCTCTACCCAATGGATTAAAGTTTAGATTTACCTTCAGGTTTTCGGGCTTTGTGAGGATCTATATTATCAGACACAATCCAGACCTTTGCCCCAAAGAAATGAGCGATCGTAGAAGCTTAATCAAAACAGCGACTTTTTGTGAAACCACGACTTTTCTAATTTCATAATATTGATTTTTATAACCAAATGTATTGAAGAGGAAAAGACACGGCACTCCTATACTTATTTTAAATGACTTGACTTCGTAGAAGAGCGTGAGCGCGCACCCGCCGTGTAGGCTTCAATTAGTAATTCACACACTCACTGATTATTTTCAAATTTTTTAAAGGTATCAACTAGGGTCAAGAGGTGCCTCAGAAATGTATACGCAATGGCAATCCCCCAAACTTTCGTGGCTTGTCTCTGCACGTCGGCAACAGCCCGACTTTTATGAACCAACAATATCCATCCTGAAATCCCCGAACAAAGTGAGGATACTGGAAGCATCATTTTTTTGCTATTAAAAACAAATAAATATATACGTACTTATAACAATGAGCAGCGGTCAACACATACTGGCTGCTTATTAAAACGCCACCACAATAAAATGTGTCATTAGCAGTATACAGCCCCACCATCCACGGCCAGTGGTCAGGATGTGCCTTGGTACCATTAACGATTCGTTCTGACACAATATCTTGTTGCTGACGCCGTCCACAGTCGATTTCCAAGGTATCACTGTTTGTTAGCCCAGTTATTGAAATTCCTGTAAATAGTGGTTGGGGTATAAGCGTTGTAATGCCAGAAATTTCAAGCTACTACGCTGGAAAAAAGAGCTTTCGAAATAAACAAGTTAGCTCTGCTTTGTTCTTTTCATCGGAAAAGGGGGTTGACCACACTAGGATTGTTTTCAGCAGGACCACATTAGGGTTGAGCATGATGGAAGTATGCAAATTATTCATTTTGATTAGAATAAGAAGGGTAGTATATTGATTTGATTAAAATGGTCCTATCCATTGCGCGATATCCTCATTTGTCTTCATCTGGGTATCCCGAGCATGCTCCGCTTTGATGTTGATATTGATTACGGGCCCAAAAAACCATTGGGATCTTCACATTGGTATGCATGGGCAGCAGAAGTCCGATGACATAAAAAAGAAACATATATAGCTTTTAAAAGAGCCTAAGTCATATTAAATCATATGCAAGTATATCTAGCTATTCAAACGTGAAATAAGTCAGACAAAAGAAATTCTGCTTAAGACTACGCTGTTGCAAAAATCTTAGTTTGATGTAAGGGGAATTCTTTCAGTTGCTTGTCGGAATACAACAATCCGTAAAAACTCGTGAATTTAACTGGAATACATAGCTTTGTGCTGCCCAAATGATCAGGTGCATACGTACGACCTTGGATGCGTTTCTGAAAAAAACACTTCATCTCAAGAAGTCCTACGGTCACTTAAACTGCTGAGATTGAAAACCTTAACAAGAAAATTATATTCGGAGTTTATTACCTTGCGAAAATTCCTATCAAAAACTATGTGAACCAAACGCCGTTGTACCGCTTCAAGGGGGTTACATTCAGCTTCGGATAAATTGTTTCACACAGCAGAAGCAAATTGAAGTCGTTGCCTAACCAACACGGAAAATAAACTTAACATAGCAAGAGGTGTTATAAAGTGCCTAGTTATAAGTAAAATAAGGCCAAGCAATTCAAAACCGGTACTACAAATTTTAGAGTCATGAGATTTGAACGTGTGTCGGCAATCGACTAAAACAATAAGGTCCCTTATCACATCAGCTAGAGAAATAGTTCTGTTTTCCAAGTTGTCTTTAAAATTTAATCATCTTTATGCCTTAAAAGCGATATAACTTATGTTTTTCGCGTTCAGAGGCAGTCGGTTCAACGCGCTTCACTTGAGATACTCAAAATATTAGACTGCAGCGTTTCGCAATGTGTTTCAAAACAAGCATGTGAGAATAACTTTATGTTATCTCCACATAGAGGCACCCTATACTCCGTTCACCCTTACCTTAAGCTGAGACTGCACATACTGCAACAAGCACAAAAGCTAGAGGTCGCTACTTTGAAGCGTTCTTCCGGAAAACGATCACTCGTGCTAGAAATATATGTCTCAAAGCCAGGAGCTCGGGCTGGATTGCGCTTGTACCTTTGGCTCCAGTCTGGGCTTATGGGTAAACAAAGTGTAGAACGTTTTATGCGATTCGAAACATTATTTATAAATATACCGTACAACAACGGACCTCAAATATATGCCCTAAAAACTCATGGTTGAAATTAAGCGCACTTGATAAAGCAATTTCAACACGAACATAGTTTTTTTTCTCTCCGGTGACAGGTAATTAGAAACCCATACTCAAAGGTTAGGGGTGATACTATATTCTTCAAATGCTTTGTCGAAGCACATAATTATCAACCTTAACGAAGGCCTTAAAAAGATCGAAATAAATTGAATCAACTTGCGTAGTCTTGAAATGAACAAAGGTTAGTTTCAAACAAACGTCCCCTAATTAAACCATGTTTTTACCAAGTCATATAGAAGAACTGATTTTGAACCCTTATTTCTTCTTCCTCATACACCGTGTCATGAACCCTGTTTTATGAGCAATCCCAGAAACATTAATCATTCATTGTGAAACACCAAAAAACTAATATTAAAACGAATAAAACGATTCCCAAATCGCACCCGTTAGATGCTCGCGAAGCTACATTCGAATGTAATGACGTTATTAGTCTCCCAACACCAGCGCCACGCATCGTAAGTATGGTTCACCCACAGAAGCGGTCTGGGCCTGAACGTAATCGTAAAGCATTGGCGAAGAAAGTCAATTTAGAGTTGGCCACTTTAGGGTTACTCATGGCTTTTCTGTTTAGGATGATGATATGCTTTTTAGTACACAATGCTAACAGCCCGCGCACACAGAAAACAAAATAAAAAATAAATCGCTGAAATGAACTGAATGTCTCCATAGCAAAGTCAACACCAGGAGCACGTGCAGGGAGATGCTTTTTCACGCGCTTCAGAACAACAAAAAAAAAACGCTTGGAACAAACGCAAGCAAAGTGCACATGAAGGCACCCAAGCCAGGTTGGGTCAGTTGCTTCTGGCAACGACGAAGCAGATCGATCAAACAAGTAGGGTTCTGGGACGAACAGCTTCTCGGTCATCATCGACGTGGGCGATTACATGGTATGCTCCCCATTGCTGGTGTCTTGCTCGTCGTTCGCATACTCCCTATTTCCGTTGCTCGCTCGCGGGGGTCAGTCATCACGCAAGCAACTACGGAAAAATGCCCTCCCCCCGGATTGAAACTGAATTGCAAGGTGCCGAGGCAGCCAAAATGACTGACGGTGGGTGATTTCAGATAAGATCGACCAAAGGGTGGCTGGTCGACATTTTTAAATCAACTGATGTTTTTATATAACATTGTCTAGTGTCTGGTATAAACGAATCCACACTTAGTTTTGACCAGAAAAAAAATTTGGAGACAAGAAAAATCGTAAGGCAGGGAGAGGTGGACAGTTGCAATAACGCGCACTGATGGAGGGGGCAAGTTTGAAAGTGAATAATTAAAACAATAAAATTAGGAAAATTTTAAAACTTTTTACAAACAAACTATGGGTACAACTTGCGTGTAATATAAAGTAATAATATTTATTAAAAATTTATTTAGTTTTCTAAAAATTGCCAAACATGCCTGCTCGAACGACAAATGGCAAACTTTGGAAATCTGTATCTCATGAAATAATTTAATCATTATTACATAACTTGCAGACATTATTTTACTAATATATGGCTATTATTGAAAAAATAAATAAGGTATCTGAGTGACACAATAGTTACAATATATTTAGGCAAACATGGGAAAAAAATCAAACAAGGAAAAATTCCAATGCGAATAAAAAAAAAAACCACCTTCGATTTTTTTTTAAATTTGGGTAACCTGTTATACTCTATTTCGGCATTCATATCTATTAAAAACATGTTGCATCATTGCACTGTGAAAGAAGAAACAACTCCCCAAAGTAGGGTCCTTTTTCAAAGCCTACACTTAGCAGTGTCCTATACAAGAAGTGACTCTGAGTTCCAGTTTCATGAAACTTGCACAAATCTTTTATATACATTTATTCAGATGAGGTCATTGATAAAAAGAGCGATCGGTCACACATTAAAAGGGAGGAGAAACTATATACAGCATTTTACATAAGCGTACAAAGTGGTATCACATTAGAGACTAATGATTTGAGAAAAGATAGTGCAGTGTGAAGTCGTACCTTCCGGTATATTTTACATCTAGAGTAAAATAAATAACTTTACTTCCACACACAAAAACAAAGATATAATAGTAAGATATTTAGGTTGGCTGTGTATTTACGATTACAAACAATTTCACGTGACGGATGCCATAGTGCCTAACTGGAGCAGCTTCGATGCTCTCGGTGTATGAATGAATCGTGGCAAGCCGATATATTTTATCCTGCTCGAGGATAACATTTTGGGATTTTTTTTATAGTGATCAGATAAAAATTATTAGTAACCACCAACAAAAACAGTAGGTTAAATACCCCGTGAAGAAAAATGTGATAAATAAGATGTCCCTGCATTTAAAATGAGCAGTCCTTGGGAAATCAAATTCGGCACTTTACGCTAAGGTTTTCCTCGCTGTACCCATCTAATAAAGTTGCTTCCAAGCAGATCCGACTGTCCGTGCTACATATACGTCACAGGTCCCTTCTGTTGATGACTTGCTGAGCCGCCACGCGTGCCAAGACTGAATGCCAGGGAAGGCGCGCACCGTCAGCCACTCTTCTTTTTTTTGTTCACGATACCGAACAACCTCATTTTCGTCCAGATATACAAGATGCACGCCTTTCAGTTTCTTTGATAGAACGCTCACCATTGTCCTGGCCGTCTGAATTGCGCTTACTGAACGTTCTCTCAGGTTGTTCAGCGTGGCCTGGTGCTTCACGAGTCCGCCAACTTCGTCACATGCACTTTTCCCATGCCCAGATGCAGAAAATAAACACTGGGCTTGTGGGCAATCGTCCTTTGCAAATTGGTGAAGCTGGTAGCGATTCTTGAAATGACTGGCGGCGCCGTCACTTACGTACGTCACGTACGAGTATACCGCAACGTTGTCTTCAACCCACTCCTTCACTTTTTCTAGAGCCAAGCAAGCGTGAGCGGCGTCGTGACACAGGTCCTCACTGATGATGGCAAAGCTGTTTGTAGATTTTCTTGTCGTCACTACACATGTAAATATCGAAACTTGTTTTTTTCCAGTGATATGCTTGCACTTCGTCAGGAAGCACGATGGTTTAGTTTTCAGCAAAGTCAAAATGAAAGACAATTCTCCCGCGTTGCATGCACTGTTTTTCATCGTAGATCGCTTTACCTTGCGTTTGCCGGATATGGTTGTGAAGTACCCAACTTCCAACCGTCACTTGGATGACTTTTAGGAAAGTCTCAGGTTCCAAAGTTTTTTTCACAAGGTCGCCGGACTTTCATGTTGCAAGCACAATCTCTTCATCCTCCGGGATATCAAGTTCCTGGAGTGTAAGAAACTGGCCTTTTGGGCAGTGGTCACAGTCTCCTTGAAGGCACAGTTCTGTTGCTGGGTCGCACAGAAATGCCGAGTTCATTTCACCAGTGTTGAATGTTGAGCCTGTAACATTCTCTAGAGCGGCAATACAAAGATAATAATTGGCGCAGCGCACACAAACGCACACATCCTGGTGTGGAA